CAATCCAGGCATGGCATATTTTAAAAAGAGCCAGAGACACTGATATATGAAATTGAATTAGCAAACTAGACAAAGCTAAATAAATGATTAGTGAATTCAAAGACAGATGAAGAAATTACACAGAAAACAGCAAAGAGACAATGTGATAAAATATAAGCAAGAGAGGTTAACAGACATGGAGTGAGAAGGTCTAATATACATCTAATTAGAGTTCCATAAAAATATAAATAAAATGGAGAAAAGAAAAATTCAAGGAGATTGTGACTGGGAATTTTCTAGAATTTATTAAAGACATGAACCTTCTGATTCAGGAAGTGCAGTGAAATTCCAAGCATGAGCAACAAGGGGTAATTGATAAATAAGTAGTAGATAAAATGCAGAACACCAAAGCCATAGAGCCAAAGAGAAGAGGCGGATTACCTCAAGGGGAACGAGAACATCAGCTGATTTTTCAATAGCTCCTGTCTTTATTATTATTATTTCCTTCTATCTGCTTATGTTGGGCTTAATTTGCTCTTCTTTTTTTTAGTTTCTTCAGATAGAAGCCTAGATCAATTTCATAACTTAATTTTTTCCTAATATAGTTAATGCTAAAAATCCTCAAAGCACTACTTTAGCTGTATCTCACAAATTTTGATAGGTTATTATTTTCATTCAGTTCAAAATATTTTCTAACTTTTCTTGTGACTTGTTGTTTTACTGATGGGTTATTTGTTTAATTTCCAAATATTTGAGACCTTCCAGGTATCTTTCTGTCAATCTGTTTAAATCTGCTGTGGCCAGGGAACATTATTCTGAATTATTCTAATCCTTTTAAAATTTAATGAGAATTGTTTTATGGCCCAGAATATGGTAGGCCATATTTGGTAAGTGTTTCATGTGTACTTGAAAAGAATGAGAATTTTCTTGATGAAAACAGTGTTCTATAAATGTCTATTAGGTCAGGTTGGTTTCAGTGTTGCTCGAGTCTTCTGTATCCTTTCTGATTTTTTGTAAACTTGTTTTTGTAAACTTGCTGAGAGAAGAATGTTGAAACCTCTAACAATAATTGTGAATATGTCTACTTCTCCTTTCAAATCTCTCAGTTTTTACTTCATTTATTTTCAGGTTCTATTATTAGAAGTATAAACATTATGATTATGTCTTCTTTGCGAATATATCACTTTATCATCATGGAAAGTTCTTTATCACTGGTTATATTTCTTATTCTGAAGCATACTTTGATATCATAACTATTCAGACTTCTTTTGATTAGTGTTAACATAGCACATCATTTTCCATCTTTTTTTTTTTTGAGACAGAGTCTCACTCTGTTACTGGTCTCACAGCAACCTCAAACTTCTGGGCTCAGGCAATCCTCCTGCTTCAGCCTCCCGAGTAGCTGGAACTACAGGCATCCACCACCATGCCCGGCTAAATTTTTCTATATATTTTTAGTTGTTCAGATAATTTCTTTCTATTTTTGGTAGAGACACGGTTTCTTTTGCTCTTGCTCAGGCTGGTCTCAAACTCCTGACCTTGAGTGATCCTTCCAGCCTTGGCCTCCCAGGGTGCTAGGATTACAGGTGTGAGCCACTGCACCCGGCCATTTTCCATCTTTTTATTTTAAAAATATTGCGATAATATATACATAAAATTTATCATCTTAACCACTTTAAGTGTATAGTTCAGTAGTGTCGAGTACATTCACATCGTTGTGCAACCATCTCAAGGATTTTTTTATCTTACAAAACTGATACTCTGTACCCCTTAAACAACTCCTTATTCTTTCCTTCCCCCAACAACCACCACTCTACTTTTCTGTACTACTGTTGTCATACATTTTACTTCTACATTTATAACCCCATAAAGCACTGTCATTATTTTTGCTTTAAATAGTCAATTACTTTTAAAGGTATTTTAAAAATAAGAAAAAAGGTCTTTTATATTTTCTACTTATTTGTCATTTCCAGTGCTCTTCACTCCTATGTATACATCTAAATTTCCATCTGATGTCCCTTCTACTTGAAAAACTTCCTTTGACATTTCCTATACAGCATGTCTGCTGGTGATAAATTCTCTCAGCTTTTTTATGTATTTGTTTCCATATTTAAAAGATATTTTTGCTAAGTACAAAATTCTGAGTTGATTGGCTTTTTTCTCCAGCAGTTTAGAAGTGCTGATTCCACTGTCTTCTGGTGTTATGGTTTTTGAAGAGAGAAGGCTGATGTCACTCCTATTTTTGTTCCTCTATCATCATGTCTCTTTCTTTTTTTCTGACAACTTTTAAGATTTTCTCTTTATTAGTGGTCTTAAGCAATTTGATTATGATGTGGTTTAGGGTGGTTTTCTTAGTTTCCTCTACTTAGAGTTTATTGAACTTCTTGGATTTGTGGGTTTATGTTTTTCACCAAATTTATAAAAAATTTCACTGTTTCTCTAATTTTTTTCTCTTTTCCCTTTCCTTCTTAGACTCTAATTATATTGCTTGATATTGTTCACTGGCTCAATAAAGCTCTGTTCATTTCCCCCTCAGACGTTCTCTCTCTTCATGCTTCTTTGGGTAGTTTCTGTTGCTATGCCTTCAAGTGCACTGATCTTTGCTTCTGCAGTATCTAACTCATTAATGCTATCCACTTTTTTTTCATTTCTAGAAGTTCCATTTTGGTTTGTTTAATTATAGGTGTCCTCAAACTACAGCCCGTGGGCCACATGCGGGTGTTTTTGCCTGTTTGGTTTTTTTACTTCAAAATAAGATATGTGCAGTGTGCATAGGAATTTGGTCATAGTTTTTTTAAAACTATAGTCTGGCCCTCCAACAGTCTGAGGGACAGTGAACTGGCCCCCTGTTTAAAAAGTTTGAGGACACCTGGTTTAATGTATCTATTTCTTTCTTCATTATATTCAAGCTTTCCCTTACATCCTTAAGTTTACTTAATAAGATTTATAATACTTGTTTTAATGCCTTTGTTTATTAATCCCCTAATCACTTTCATTTCTGGGTTTGTTTTTATTGATTGATTTCTCCTGGTTATATGTCTTTTTTAGAGACAGAGTCTCACTATGTTACTCAGGCTAGTCTCGAACTCCTGGGCTCAAGTGATCATCCCCCCTCAGTCTCCCAAGTAGCTGGGACTACAGATGTTCACCACTACATCTGGCTTATGTGTCTAATTTTTCTGCTTCTTTGTATGCCTTGTAATTTTTGATGGGTGTCAGACATTATAACCAGACATTTTACATTGTCTGGTGCTGAATTTTATTGTATTCTTATAAATCTTGGATTTTGTTGTAGAATCTAGCTAAATTACTTTTAGATTAGTTTGATTCTTTAAAGGCTTCCTTTAAGCTTTGTTATGGTGGGTCTATGGTATCCTTTACCATGGTGCTAATTTAGCCTCACACTAAGGCACGACCATTCGGAGAACCCCAACCAGTATCCTCTATATTATGAGTCTTTCTATTCTGGCTTTTAGGAACACAAACCATTCCCAGCCCTGTGTGAGCTCCAGGCAGTGTGCAACCTACTGCTTTTCAGGTAGTTCTTTCCCAGGTCTCAGAGAGTTTTCTCCTATGCATGCATAAATCTGTACTCAAAGATTCTAGGGGCCCCACTCCAGATCTCTGAAGTGTGCATGCATGCTCTCTCTGTAGTTTCTTCTCTGGTACTGTGCCTCACAAATTCTAGCCACCCTGACCTTTTCAAACTCTGATTTCTGCCTCCTCAACTCAGTGAGACACTTGGGCTCTATTTCCATTTTCCCTCCCTGCATTGCAGTGTGGAAACTGTCTCAAGGCAGTAAGCAGGGGCAATCACAGGGCTCGCATTATTTGTTTCCTTCCTCTCAGGGGTCACAGTGCTATATAATCTGTTTTCTAATATCTTGAAAACCATTGTTTCTTTTTTCTAATTTGTTTTCAGCAAAAGAGCAACTCTGAGAACACTTCAAGGACAGAAGGAAAATGTTCCAAGGCTTCTTTAGATGTTATGCCTACTTGTAACTCTCATGCCTTCATTCACAACCCTATTCCCATTCACAATCCAAATTAGTAGACTCAGGTATTGAAGTATATCAGACAGACAGAATGGGAACAGGTAATGAGCCTGATGCCATGGTAGAACACACGCTATCTACACACCTGGGTTCTAGTCCCAATTCTGTCACTATGAGCTTTCAGACATTTAATATCATAATGTCTTCGTCTCCTCATTGGTATAATGGTTTCCTCACTACACATAAGAACTATGGAATAAGACAATGGGTACTTCTTCCACAAAACACTGTTATTCTCTTCCTCTTAATTCCATTCTCCTCAGGATGATGCTAAAAGGGGCCAAATTCCTCAGAATACTTTCTACCCCAGAAGAACCAAATTGGTACTAAGCTATGAAATTTCTGCCATGCCTCAATTATAGTTAAAATAGCATAGCTAAAATACACCATGCTAGATGCTATGCTAAAATTCCAAATAAAAATTATTTCTCTTCTGTACTTTCTACTAGAAGTAGAAACCGAAACCATTTCTTATCAAGCCTATTATTCAGACACATGCTTACTTTCAATTTTTTTCTAAAGAATCTACATAAAATAATTTTTGTTTTATTATCAATAGCAAGAATATCAATTTTCCCCTGCTAATTTCTTGTCTATAGGGTGCCTCAATACATACTCTAGTTCAATAGATTTGTTTCCTTGGGCAATGAAAGAAGAATCTTTTACATTTGACAAAGCCATTTTCTAATTCTACTTGGGCCAAAGGTGCCACATTATGAGTCAACAATTCATGTTATGTGGTTTTGTGGAAACCTGTACTCAGGTCAGAATCTTCACTTATTTTCTTGTGGTCTTCCTAGACCAGCCCTTGAACTCCCCCCTCCTGCCCTTTCTCTGTCTCTGTCTGTCTGTCTGTCTGTCTGCCTGTCTCTCTCTCTCTCACAGCTCAGGATTCCTTCCCGCACCAAGGGAGGTGACAGAGCACAACCTGTGGGGTGCAGGGCCAGAACTGCAATTAGCCATTACCTGGTGAGATGCAGAAGGCAGACTCTTTACTAGACCCTCTGTGTCGGAGGGGGACTTCCGTGGAGCCTGCTTAACCGGTGACAAACTTTCTGATGCACTGCAGCTGATCAATTGACAATTTGGAGAACAAATGTAAAAAAAAAAAATAGTAAACAGAAACAAAAACATACAAATGCAAGTGATGGCAAGATAAAGCAGCAGATGTCTAAAAACAAAAGACAACAAAACAATGGGTATCAAAATGATCACATATCTTAAAACTACTTTCTATCCCTGACACTCACATATTTGCCTAAGTCAGTGAGGAAGGCACAGAAACTGGTATGGTACAACCACCTCACCCTTGTTTACGACAATGATATTGCAATTCTGGTTACAATACACACTGATCCTTTGTGATGCTTTTTTTTTTCCCCTTGCCATCAACTCTCCTTTGGGATAAAGGCTTAAAGGAGCAAACTATATGGTATCTTCTTAATGGCAATTTGCTTTTGTTATCATCAAAGGTAAGTCTCTTCTGAATGTATTTTAAAAATTACAGATGTACATCCAGGCTTGTTCGTGGTCCTGGCTTGTCTTGTTCTCTCCATATTTTATTTTCTACCAATACATCCAAACCCCAAAACCCCAGGAAGTTGTGAATGATGAGAAACTATGGAATGCCATGTCACACAAGGCTGAATTTTTTTTTAGGGGTATAGGGGACTTTTACAACAAGCATTAGCTCATAAATCAGGGAAAGTGAATGCCAGGAAGTATCTCATTAGGGATTTCCTAATGAGATGTGTCATCAGGACAGCTTAAATCCTTCATATTTTTCAAAAAAACTTAGGAGTTTGGTGAGGATCACATTTAAAGTATCATTACTAAGACTAAAGCATACCATGCATCTGCAAACTATGCCTTCTTTGAAATGGGAGGCCACATGCTCTGAACTAAAATGGTTTGATTATTCTATCACAATGAGGGTCTCAATCATTGATAATACAATTCATGTATGAAAAAGAAAACTAACATACATACACAGGCGTTTTACATGAAGAACATACACAGATCATCATAAAACCTCTATGTAACTTGACAATTCGATTTCATCCAGATGATATGCTCAACATGTTTCTAATACAAACACGTGACACATTTGTAGACAAATCATAATAGCTGTTGGGTTAGCTCAGAGCTAGCTGGTTAGTTGTCAACAACGTATTCAGATGGGCTGAATACGTACACATGAATATTAACAGCAACGGGCAATGTGATTAGTTACCATGTGTCTAGTGGGAGTGGAAGAGGAGACCCAGCCCTGTTATAGTCCCAATGTGTCTTCTATGTCAGCTTTTCTTAAGAAGTGGAAGATAAGCAGGATCTGATCCCAGCACACCAAGGAAGAAAAGGCAGGGGAAGAGGAAAAAAACCAAAGTAAGAAGAATAGCAGCATTCATGATGCCATGCAGGATTAGGATTCTAAGGAACACTTTCCTGCCCCTTTATTAACCCAAAAGCAAGAACTACAAAGACTGGCAGGTTACCACCCTGGATTAGTCTCACGTTGTAAACCAACAACCCAGCTATATACTTAATCATAAAACACTCACCATGCAAGGGGGCAGATAAGTCAGCAGAACAGAAGCATTCCAAGCAAGTAATATTAATATCTGAATTTGAACACTCAAACTTGTTAAAACACAGCACTCCTAAACACTCTAGATCAGCAGAGCCATAGATAGAGGTTCCCACCATCCGCCAGCAAGAGAGTTCAGGGCATGCAATCCTCTCAAATCACATTCCCTTCAAGATGGTTAAAGTTAGGTCTGTGCATCTGCAACACTGCTCGTGCTAGATCAGCTTGAATCCAGCCTTCATTTCCAGTCTTACCACGGGAGTTTACATAGCTTATATGGGTTAGCTTTCCTGCTGGAGTAGGGAAAAGAGAAGGTCCTTCAATTAGACACACACCCTATGCTCTAATGTGTTCCTTTTGAGAAGCCATAAACAGAAAGTCTACTTTTCTTTATCGCTGGTATATCATCACATGAGGCTAGGGGTGGCAGTTTATTGGCACAATTTCCTTTTTTATTTATTTTTATTTTATTTATTTATTTATTTATTATTTTTTTTTGAGACAGAGTCTTGCTTTGTTGCCCAGGCTAGAGTGAGTGCCGTGGCATCAGCCTAGCTCACAGCAACCTCAAACTCCTGGGCTCAAGCAATCCTGCTGCCTCAGCCTCCCGACTAGCTGGGACTACAGGCATGCGCCACCATGCCCGGCTAATTTTTTCTATATATATATTAGTTGGCCAATTGATTTCTTTCTATTTATGGTAGAGACGGGTCTTGCTCTTGCTCAGGCTGGTTTCGAACTCCTGACCTGGAGCATCGCCCACCTCGGCCTCCCAGGTGCTAGGATTACAGCATGGCACCGCGCCCGGCCTCCTTTTTAATTTTTGAGACAGGGTTTCACTCTATTGCCCAGGCTACAGTGCCGTGGCATCAGCCTAGCTCACAGCAACCTCAAACTCCTGGGCTCAGGCAATCCTCCTGCCTCAGCCTCCCAAGTAACTGGGACTACAGGCTTGTGCCACCACGCCTGGCTAAGTTTTTTTCTATTTTTAGTAGAGACGGGATCTCGCTCTTGCTCAGGTTGGTCTCGAACTCCTGAGCTCAAGCAATCTTCCTGCCTTGGCCTCTCAGAGTCCTAGGATTACAGGCGTGAGCCACTGAGCCCGGCCACTTTTTAAAAAAATAGATGCGGTTTCACTATATTGTCCAGGCTGGACTCCAACTCCTAGGATCAAGCAATCCTCCTACCTCAGCCTCCAAGCAGTTGGGACTACAGGCATGTGCCACCACGCCCAGCTCACAACTTCTTGATTAGGGTTTTATGTTTACCCAACTAAAAAAACCTTATGAGATTATTACCAACAAATTAAAATCAAACTTCCCCATTACATTTGTACTCCCACAATATGCTGAAATAAAAAAATTAAAAAAAAAAGAAATTAAAATTAAACTCTTAAATTGGGTAAGTGATATCTGTAGCTTAAGAATACTAATTTCAGAGTGGATAGTACTGAACTACAGAGTACAGACTGCTGAGCAGTTCATTTCACCAAACCTAAAAAGGAACCTGCAGAAACAGGGATTAGTATCACATTCCACAGTTAATAGCAAGCCACTGATTTCTGCTTGCCCATGTCAGAACACCTCCTAAGGAGACAGCCTGACTCTCTGACATGAAAGCCAACAGTAGTTAATTCTTCACAATCCTTTTCCCATAAAAATATATAAGTTTTTATAAACCCTGATTCCTTCCCTCCACCCCTCCCCTAAAAAAGTGTTTCTTACCCAGTGTAATCCCGTTTAGAGTTTTTCCTTCTATAGAGGACAGCCAGAATCATGCTGATGAGCAGAGTGAGACCTATGACCACAGCAGTAACTATACCCACCACTACCCCAACTGGAAACATGGGCAAACTCTCTAGAGAGAAAGAACAAAATAGTTTTAAGGTACATTGCTACAGAGACAAAAAATGGAATTTTATTAAATTATTAAGCAAGTGTCTTCCTTTAACAGTTACCATACCATCTTTTATTATCCAAATTATGAGATCCCAGTATCTAACTGATGACATACACATATTAGATAAATAGAAATGAACTACTAAACTAAGCATTCCTACATCTACAATCTCTCTCAATGCTCTAAAATCAAAGAAAAACTGATATGAATTACTCTCTAACAAAGCAGACTCTATCTCAAAATGAGATACCAGAATCTGCATTTCCTCTTTGTTCTCAATAAAAGAAGAAATCACCATAGTATTTGGGAAATGTCAAAACAGTATTAATCTCCTTCTTTCCCACTGCTCACTATATCCAACCATAATTAATTTGGTCTTTCTTCTAATTACACTAAAAAACGAATAGGTCTGAAATCAGAACAACAGGCTCCAGACAGCAGGAATAAAAATGAAGAAATCAGCTGCTTTGGTTGGAATGAGCAACAGTTTCCCAAATGTAAGGCAAAGATACCACCTTCAAACACACCTTGAAATGGGTTTCTTGTTCTCCAACTAAACACAAGACAAAGGAGATTGCATCATTACTACAAAAAAAATACTCAAGAAGTACCTTTTTCTACGACATACAGCCTAATGTGCCCAGGCTGAACAACAATGTCGGGAGGGTTTTTGACATCACAGATGTAGGTGCCATTGTGTATAAACTGCATATTTTCTATGTTGATTGATGCGTCTTTCTTGTCGAGGTCTCCAGCCCAGCTGATTCTGTCCTTAAATGGTGGATAGTTCCCCAGGTACACTTGCCCTTGGGAGTAGTGGAAAAACTGCGATTAGAAAAAAAGAACACATGAGCTATTTTCAAAGGCAGAATTCCTAAACTCTATAACAGGCATGCTGCAAAAGGTTCTTTTTAAAAAAAGACTTCACACAGAAAGAAATGCAATAGCGTATTATAAACCTCAAGCTATGGAATCTAAGTCAGACAGAAGTTTAGAGATCAAGGGGTCAACCCTGCCAGGTTTCAGTTGAAGAATCAGATTCACATAGCTTCTCTAATCCTCTCAATATCCCATTAATATAATTATTGCTACTTAAATCATTCACATGAGGAAACGGAGACTCAAAGAGGCCATTTCCCCAAGGTCGCATGATAGTGAGGGACCCCGAGTCAAAGTCAGGTCCATCTGATTCTTCAAAGCCAGCCCTCTTCCAATAACACCATGTTTGAGCCCAGTGAATCCAAAGGCTTCAGAAAACTAACAGTTCACAAAGCTTACCATTGAGATACAGAAAGGCACAAAGAAAAAGAACCCTAAATACGACAGATCAGTTATCTATGTGGGTTTCTCCCTCTTACTTGTTGGTTTCCTATGGAAAAGTCATGGGTGTGTGAAAGGAACACAGCCCAGATAACAAAACGCTCTTGCCTGCCTTTGAAGGCTCAGCTTTTGGCCCCTTTCTCTTTCTACTCCTCACTCTCTCCTCAGACCTGCCTTTAGCAAAAGAACTTGTTTCTCAAAGTGAACCTTGTCAAACCCAGCACCCTGGAAGCAAGGTAAGGCCCAGTGGGAGGGGATCTACCCTCGCACTCAGGTGTAATCTGAGCAACTCTGCTAGAGGCTTGGCGTCTTTGTTCTCGTTCATGGATGGGGTGATGGTGGGGATGGGGGTAGAAATCAGCACCACCAGCAATTCATACAGAACATTTTCAGAACATTTTGATCGTGCAATCTCACTGGTTCCCATGATGTAAGGATCATCTGTATTTTAACTCCCAAATTTCTCTCTCCATCAATAGTGTCCCCTAAGCTCTAGACTCCTCCCAAAATTGCTTATTCACTTTACCACCTGGCTGACCGAGTCTCTCAAGCTTGTCACTTTCTCCTATAACCTTCATATTCTACCTATGTATCTCATGTTGACTGATGCCTACCATCTGTCTCCCAAATCATAACTCTTGGTTGATTCCTCTTTCTTCCCATCTAATTAATCCCCCAATATCGTCAATCTACTTCATATATTTCTCTCAGTTTTCTTCTCTCTATTAAATTTCCATTGATGACACCTGGTTTCATGCTTTTGTCACCTTGCCCAGAGAAACATTATCTCTGCCTTCCAAGGCTAGACACCTGTACAAAGAGAGTCCAGAACAAAGGCAGCCAGTGCCCCTGCTTGCAAGATGTGCAGAAACATGAAAGAGCCATGGAAACTACCTACCAACACTCTCCAGTGCGCACAACCCCCCTGCAAGGTGAGGCTTGTCTGCCTGGTATTTCATAATGAGGAGAGTGAGGCTCAGAAAAGCTTGGTGACTTGCTTGAGGTCACAGGTTTTAGAGATGGAATTTAAACTCACCTTTGATTTCAAAGCTTATGCTATTCTCATTATTTACTGCTTCTTATGTGTAATGCCTTGTCTGCTCAAAGTCCTTCACTCTCTCTTCTTCACCAGGAAATAAACCATAAACTCTTAGCTTAGCTAACAAACCCTCCCACCACCTGGCCTCTGCCTTCCCTTCCCACATCATCTTCCAAATAGTCCTGGTTTGCATTTCTGAACCACCAATGACAGTTACACTGTTCCTATCCACCGCTGGTCCTACATGGCTCCTCAGTCAGCCTCCTCCTTGGGCTGCGGCCCTTTGAAGGCAGGGGCTAAGTTGTGTCTACCTCTGCATTCCTCAGCACTCAGCACATAGCAGGAGCTACGTAAGTTTGCTGAACTGAATTGAGGAACAATGCCTTGGTCAAACAGTGAAGAGATGCAAATGAAATACTAAAAATTCACAGAAAAGATAGATCTCATTATCAACCAATATTTTTAAGTGCAAGCCATGTGCTAAAGCTATGAGGAAAGCCACAGATGTAACACAAGTATCTCTGTCAAAACACCCATATTCAGATGAAAAAGAAAAACTATCATATTAAGGGATCTGTATCATAGGAGTGGCTTGGATAATGTGAGTAGTGAGTCTGAAGGCCTAAAAGTTAGAAAGGAGGCCTTATGGGGGGGGAGGGTCAGAAGATAAAGATGAGGTACAACTTAAATGGCAAGAGGTCAAGTAGGAAAACAAAGCATAAAGCATTTTACTAGCCTGGAAGTGATGATCACATGAGAGGACAGAGGTGAGGCAGAAGTGATAGGCTGGGCTGGACTGTAATGAACTTTGAATTCTAGACAAGCATCATCAGCAATGGGGAGAACTAGAGGTTTCTGTCAAGGGAGTGGCGAGGCAAAAGAACTGTTCTAAGACCTGGTGCATGTGAGGAGGGCTGAACTAAAAGACGAAAGAACAGAAGTAGAAGAACAACTCAGTGGCTACTGTACCAGTCCAGGCACACAGTTAACACTGCTTACAGACACCAGAGAAGCAGCAGGCTGAGAAAAAGCTAGATGCCAGAAATGAAGTAGGAAGACCTAGCGAAGGTTCTTGTTTCTTGAGGGCAGAAGGAAGTGGTAGAGGGAAGGATAAAAAAATCCCCACAAAATTCACCTCTAGACAACCACAACTACCCTAAAAAATGGGCAGAGAAAAAACCAAAAAACAGAGGGGAAAAAAATGAGTTGCATTTAGACATGTGGATTCTAAGTTCATGGACCAGAAAAGCCATCTATGGTATGCTGGGTTTGAATATAATTTTCCTGTAAATCTATAAAAACAAAGAGCAACCTGCTCATCTTATTAAAAGTATCCTGACATTTTGGAGACAAGGGCTCCTATACCAATAACTGCGCATTCTGAAGTTAACTGTAATCAGGAGAGTGTGTAACTATAAACTGATTAGCTAAATCATTAATCAGAAATAACATGTTCTTAAGTCTTGAGTTATATAAACTTTTCTTGACCCACATGACAGAATGCTTTTATTTATTTAAAATTTTTGTTTGTTTTTTTTTTAGACAAGAGTCTCACTTTGTTGCCCAGGCTAGAGTGAGTGCCGTGGTGTCAGCCTAGCTCACAGCAACCTCAAACTCCTGAGCTCAAGTAATCCTACTGCCTCAGCCTCCGGAGTAGCTGGGACTATAGGCATGCCACACCATTCCAGGCTAATTTTCTCTATATATTTTTAGTTGGCTAATTAAT